ATAACAATGTATATTATGATAGGTATAGATATGTGTGTACCGATTATAACTCCGTGAAATCTCATAAGCACACAATCTCGTCTTATACTACTCATAATATAGGTGTACAGTATATTACTATTACTGTTATTGTTATTATTGTGTTTAAGTGTTATTAAATGGAATTCGAAAACCTAAGTTAAACCTGAGTTTATTATATGTCCATATAGGTACGGCATACACGTTTGACCGAGGTGTTTGTAACGTGACATGTTAAAATATGATTTGTAATTTGTATAGTACAATATTATTTGTATGCATTAATAGTTTCGATTTACTATAGTATAGAAAAATTTACCGTGTACTAGTGTGTATATACATTATACAAAAAATAAATTATCAACGCACCACTATTAATGACGTAAAACCCACAACCCTGTACAGTTAACATCGAAGAAAGTTGAAACAAAATAGTATTTATCAAATATAGATCACCACTTATTGTTTTGTATGTGTATTTAAATATTATAATGATTCATTACGATATTACTCGTTAATCGTTATAATCGCTATGATAATAAGTGATAACTATCATCAAATTATTTAATTAAATCATTTTTGAAAGTCGTAAAACACTGCGTATATATTTACTAGTTAGTATGTGTCCCTACATAACATGTTATGACCTTTGATATATGTATTTTGCGTATTATACACAAATTTATTCTTTTTAACTTAAATAAGTTTAATATTCTATTGTTTACCATTGATATCAATAATATAAACGTGACCTCAAAATAGTTTTGCGCTGCAATTATTTCCTCTCCATTCGCATAACGTATATAGGTGCCTGCTATTACTATACAATTTTATTTTATTTTCTTATCAGAAATTTTTATTCCCACACCTTTATTTGAATAACTACATTTATTCCCACGTCCACTTGTTTGAAGTCTTAGAAACAAAAAGTATGGACTTTGGTTATTAATGTACAAAATATATTGATTGCATCCGATTGTAAAAAAAGTGTTCTTCCGGGATACATAAATAGTTAAAAAGTTTTTTATGTATTGTTAATTTTATTAAACTATAATTACCAACTTAATAATAACGCGGAAACCGCTAGTTTCAATTTCGATTTATTCAGAAACCCCATCATGTATAGGACATAGTATATATCGGTACGTATACACATTAGACATCTTTAGAAAAATCTGAAGCTTAATAACAATTTAGGTAGGTACTTATGTAGGTACTTACAGTAAAATAAGGTGGTTAATATTTGAAATAAATTAAGTTCGTATTTTAAAAAGAGTCTCAAGTATATGTATACCTACCTATACCTACCTACTTACAGATACCAAATGGTTATCAATTTCAAAAACCAAAATTTATATAAATGCTTAGGTAATTAAAGGAAATGATAATGATGGTTGAGTCATGGCTTGGTGAATAACTGTGTATAAATGTTACCTAGTGAAAGCATATTATATTTCCTCTTTAGTGAGATTAAATTTTTTTGGAGAACAAGAAAGTAAATTTACATTTAAAATGAACTTTGCACAATTTAACACATCATTAGGAATACCATCGACATGACCTTAATCGAAACTGAATTAAAACCTTTTTAGTAGTAGGTATTAATAATGAATATTTAATACAATTTCAATAGTCATTAAGTAGGTATATATCTTGAGTTGTATGGTTCAGCTTTTTATTTTTATTAAATTGTTTTTTTGTATAGGTAAATAGTCACTAAATTATACGGACTGTTGTACTAAAATGTTATATTAAGTTCTTTGAATAAGTGCCTGAACTATCCACTTTTAAATGTATCTTTCAAAGAAAATGTTTTCAAGTTTCTTTAAAATAATTTGAAATATAAAAAAATAATAAGTTTAGGTGCTATATTATAAAATTTTTCCAAGAATACTTTATTTCATTCATACTAATTGATACTGAATTAGTGATGGTGCTATACAAAATAAGTAATTATTATAAATTATATAAATATAATGACAGTCGTTATGTACCTATATTTTTTTTTGACGACAATAAAAAGTTCAACGGTTTTCTGTTTGAATTAAATATTATCGAATAATAAATACCTTAGCAATAGTATATGAATAGGTATATGATATTGGTACCTTATGAATTTTCAATATTTGTTGGATTTGAAATCGGACAAAAATTTCAGTTTTAATTTTGATAAGTAATAGCTATAGTTGTTATCATGCGTAGTACTCATAGTTGTTTTTTAACCTTTTAAATTTGTATTCACAGTATCTATTCATAGTGATATACGGGTGTATACAAACTTGCAAGTTGTTTTGTACTCACCCATATATCCTTGTAAAATCGTTTTTAAATCAAACTAAAAAAATGGAAGATGAGGACACAATACTTACTACATTATAATATTAAGTATATGTTATAATTGATATGTAACTATTGTACCTGCCTATCATATATCTGTACACATAAACATTAAGAATAGAACACATAGAATAAGTTATTTTTCGTATTTAGATGACTATATATTATGATTAATAATTTATACACTTACTTTGTACCTAGAAAGACTTGCACAAAATTAAGCTATTATTTATGTGTCATATACGTATTTGTTTATTATGTATATTAGTGTATTTATTGTTCAATAGACCTATATATTATGTTACTTATAGAAGACAACCAAATTATAATACGTGGCTATAAATTATAACTAATGAAGCTATATTGCACATTGATTCGTGGTAATAAATGCGATATCTGCAGATAAGTGTGTATTATATGTGCATGATTATAAATTGATAAATGTACAAACATAATATTATTGTTGCTGTCCGTAGGACAATTTATTACTGAAACTAATACACAAATGATGTGATTTATTGGTACACTAAGAGAAAATAATATTAAAAACAACCCACCATATAATCATATTACCTATTGGCTATTACCTATACTATACAAAAATATAAACGAAACGTCATTTTAGAAAATGAACGGTTATGAGTTTATGACTCATGACTTATGATGTTATAATATTTAATGTTTAAAAATTAAAATCTGATGATATGTGGTATAATACTATTATAATAGTCTACAGATGTTCAATTCTTCTGTTTGAGACAATTTTATATTCATAGGTAGGTATACCTACTGTAAAGAAATATATTGCAAGTATTAATATTGAATAGGTAATACCTATTAGGTATGCTTGTTGTAGTTATATGTCACTAGTATGATTTATATATTATATATTATTATTACAATAAGTATTGTGACATAATATAGATATACTACGCCTATAGTGAATCATGATAGTGCTTTTCCGTTATTTTAATTTCTTAAACAGATTATAGTGATTAATATAATAACACAATATACACATATTGTAATGGCAGTTAAATATAATTTACTTACAGGTTCTGTGGAGTTGTTTGAAAAAATTTGGTTTCTCAGCAAATTGAAAACATTTTATATTATGTTAACGCTGTGTTACAAGTCACAATCATCATTAAGATTAACCTACATATAGGGTAATATACATATGCATATATTATTATAATATAATGTCACACCGATACACGCGCATACACTGCAATGTTCTGCATATTTCATATAGGTATTACGCGTGTATATGCAATAATTACGTGTGCATAATTAAACTGCTGTACCGTTTTCCTCGTCAAAATTCAATACAACTCAAAAACTCAAAATTCACATTATTATATTGTTACAAAACAAGTAGGACGTAGGTATATCATGTAAAATAAACGATATAGTATAATATAATAGTACTATTATATATAGCCATACAAGTAGGTACCTAATATAAAGTTGTGCGGCTTATAAAACCCACATGGCATGCAGCGCATCGAGATGATAATTTTACACGATTATTGTAAAAAAGCACTTTTGTATAATTTTTTATATGTTGTAATATCGAATTGAATTTATTTTACTTAAAACCGTACACATGATAAATATTTATAATATAATATACACATAATATAAATATATACATATTATTTAGTTAAAATATAGGTACATGGTATATTTATAGGACACGACCGCAATGCGACAAAGTCACATCACAAAATATACACGTACATATATCGTATTATTGTATTTGTATGTATAAGTATATTGTATTGTTGTATATATATATATATGTTTATAAAAAAAAATACTTAAAGTACAACAGTTTGCTGTGCGTACGCGTATATATAGTATTGTGCGGTGGCGGCGGCGGCGGCGTCGTTTAAAACCCGGCCAACACCGCCGTCGCCGCGCACGCGACGACGACGAAAATTAGTGACATAAAAAACTCCTATTTTCAACGTACACTATTATAATATATTATTTCTATAATTATTTTAACATGCTATGGTCAAGCGGCGAGGACGGTCGTAAGTCGCTCGACGTAAGTATATAATAGTACCTATATACTGGCCCGCAGCGAGCGTCCAATATATACACAATTTAATGCAGCTTACTACGTTTACAAATATACATATAATTCATAATATTCACATATGTTATACTTTTATGCGTATAAAATATATAAATATATAATATATTATATGCATATATATATTTATTAGGGAAAAACGCAACTACTTACACAACAGTTTTTGCTTCGCATCTCATAACTATTTTGTATAAATTAATTTTTATATATATATCAATAAACATAAAATGTCGTTTTGTATTTTTTTAAACGCGTACACACTAACATAAAATATATACTGTACACACACACGTATAATAATAATAATAATAATAATAATAATAATAATAATAATAATATAATAATAATAATAATAATAATAATAAATCTAAAAACGAAACATGATGATATCAAACACATATGAGTATAATATAATAGTTTATAGGTAGAAGGTACTCCAGAGATTACTAGAAAAAAATAAAATAAAAATTATACATTCGTTGCCTATCGCGGTCACGCATGCGCGCGTGACAGACACGTTGGAAATTATCGAAGAAAAATTTAACGCAAAACGTAAATAATTACTATTGCTGGTGCCGCTGTTGTTGCTGCAAGGCCCACCGGTGACCACGCCGTTTTCAAACAAGTGGCGGGTATTGGTGTTGGTGGTGCTGCTGGAGCTGCTGATGGTGATGGTGATGTCACAACGGCGATGACGATCCGGCAGCAGCGGCAGCGCCAGACACGGACGACGCTGATGATTGAGGTCCACCGGAGGCTGCTGCCGCTGCGGCAGCTGCTGCAGCGGCCGCGGCCGCGTGATAGAGTGTCGCCTGTTGGTGGTGTGGATGTGGGTGCCCGTGGTGATGCGGATGATGTGGGTGCGCGTGTGGGTGATAGTAATCGTTATACCCAGCCGTGGTACCGTACTGCGAAGCCGCTGCCATTTCGTACATTTTTTCGGCTGCTGAGGCAGCGGTTGCGGATGATGCGGTGGCTGCGGCCACGGACGCGGCTGACGACGGTTTGTCAGACGCTGACGCAGCAGCAGCAGCCGAGGCCGTTGGCGGCGGCGGCAACAGTCGCGTAATTGAAAATGGATGGTTGGATGCGGCGAATTCGGCGGCAGCTGCGGCTGCGGCCGCAGACTTGAGGTGCTGTTGCAGTTGCAGTTGCTGGTGGTGGCTATGATGCTGCTGCTGCTGTTGCTGTTGGTGTTGCTGTTGCTGTTGGTGATTGTGATGTGCGGCGGCCGCAGCCGCGGCGTAAATGTCCACAGGGCTGTGCTGCTGCTGATGGTGTTGCTGCTGCTGGTGGTGATGCTGTTGCTGCTGGTGTTGTTGTTGTTGGTGTTGGTGATGTTGCAGCAATGACCCAACCAACATGGACGATGACGAGTCATCGTCGCCACCACCGTGTTGCTGTAAGTGGTGGTGCATGTGGTGCACGTGATCATGGTCACTGTCATGGTGATTACCGTTGTTGTGGCTATTTTGGTGGTCGTGCGTATGGTGGTGGTGCAGAAGCAAATGGTGTTTGCCGTGTTGCTGCTGCTGTTGGTGTTGTTGGTGTTGATGGTGCATGCCACCACCGAATCCCAAGTCTGCCGCAGCAGCCGATGACATGAGTCCACCACCACCGGCACCTAATTTTTGATTATGATGGTGTTGCAGTTGAAGTAGGTGGTGGTGGTGATCAGCAGCAGCGGCGAGTACGGATGAGGACGACGCCGATGACGGCGGTACCGATGACGACGGTTTCTTGTCCAGCACCATGTCTAAATGGTGCTGCTGATGGTGATGGCCACCACTTAGTTGATGTTGACCGCTGAGCTGGTGTTGACTGCCACCGCCACCACCGCTATGTAGCATGGGCGACGAACTCTTTGAGTGATTGTGGCCACCGTGATGCTGATGGTGGTGACCGCCGTCGCCGTGCTGCCGAATCGATGAAGCGTCTTTTTTGTCGTCTTTGAAACGCTTTTGCCGGCGCAGGTAGCAACCGTTCTCGAACATGTTTCCCGAGTCTGGGTGCAATGTCCAAAATGAACCCTTACCTGGTTTGTCGGGCGTCCGAGGCACTTTAACAAAACAGTCGTTGAACGATAGCGAGTGCCTGATGGAATTCTGCCACCGCTGTTGATTTTGCCGGTAGAAAGGAAACAGATCCATTATAAATTGATAAATTTCCGAAAGTGTGAGCATTTTCACTGGCGAGTTTTGTATGGCCATCGTAATGAGCGAAATATACGAGTACGGAGGTTTAGCGTGCGTATAGTTCCGGCGGTACGTTTTGTCGGCTCGAACCCGTTGTAGCGCCGCGGCGTTAGCGGCGCCGGTCGGGTCACCGCCGGCACCAGCGGCTGCAGCCGCGGCGGCAACAGCAGCGGCCGAAGCGTTCAAACCGTACATTGCCGCAGCAGCCGTTGCGGCGGAATTCATGCCACCGTATAGTTGCTGTTGCATGTTAGCTGCTGCCGAGGCACTGCTCCCGAATACGAGCTGCTGTTGCTGTTGTTGTTGCTGTTGCTGTTGTTGCTGTTGCTGTTGCTGTTGGTGGTGTGACTGCGGAGGTGGCGAGCACAGCGATGGAGTCGACGACGGTCCACCACCACCGCCGGCGCCGGTGGTCGACGAATTTCCGCCGTACATGGCCGCCGCGTTGACAGCAGCGGCAGCAGCAGCTGCGGCCGCGGCCGCAGCGGTCGCCGTGTCGGAGTACAAAAGTTTTTGCGACGATAACATTGTCATAGTTGCCGTTTTTACTTTTATCTATTTATTGGTATATAAATTAAATTGTACCTATATGATGTGACGACGGTTGCAGGCGGTGCGGACGGCGTTACTTCATGTGTGTATACGACGCTGTCACTTGCGCTACAAACACGTAAAATATCAGAGGCGACGACAGGGCAGCGATCGCGACGGCGGCGACGACGGCGACAACTGTGACGGCGGCGGCGCTAACGAATGCGGCGATGACGGTAACGGTGGACAATCGTACATAATATTTGTCCACATCGACTGTACGTCATATATATGTGTACAAATATTTTGTAACACTTCCGTCGCGCCGTGTTCGTCTTTGAGCAGACGGTGGTTTTCTGGCGGTGGCGGCCGCTTACCTGACACTTGGTACCGTGCTTATAATATGTGTACCGTTCCGTGCACGACCGCGTTCGCTCAAACGGTACGGTATACTCTCGGCGCGCGGTTCGCAAACACTGCGACGATGTTCCGGCGGCGGCGGTGAATTCGCGCGCGTCTCTGACTCGCGGACACGGCAACAATTAACGGACCGTTATATTATATGGTTCACGGCTAATATATTATATACCTACGTGATGTACGTACAAAATAATAACATGATATTATTATTATGTGTTTGCGTGCGTGCGTGTGTGTTATTTGCTCGCAGGTATATAATATATTATGTTATGTGTACGCGTATATATTGTTCGTTCGGGCAAGGCTGATCGCGGCGAACTGCTGCCGTCGTTAAACCGACCGAGCGAGAGTGTGGTGCCCCGCCGGCCCCGGTCACGGTCCCGGTCGACGGGCACACGCACACACACACATGCCTAACGCACACACCCACCAAACACGTATACTTGTACACGTCGGTGGTGGGGCTCGGAAGGAGGTGGGGCCGGCCGCCGAACAAAATATGTATAATAATACGTGCCGGCCGGTGCGTGCGTGAGTGTGATGGTGCGCGCGCGCCGCGTCGTCGGCGGTAGCGTTGCGCGCCGGAGGCGCGGTGCGGCGGTCGACGAGGTGCGCTCGCGCATTGGACGCCGTCCGTACGCGGCGCCGTGCGCGCGCCCCGCCCTCGACGCCGCGTCGCGACTCCCCCGGTCCGCGGTCGCCTAGACTACGACCAATCGGGCCGCTGCCCACCGTCGCCACCGGTCGCCACTCCTACCCCACCCGTTGAAGCGATGACGGGTTTTCCGCCGCCGTCGAAGACGGTTTTTTTTCGTCGTTCGTTTTTTTCCCACATCAGTCACGTCGCCGCCGGCACACGCACACACGGTCGGTTGTCTTGCCGCCGCCACCACCAGCAGATGTTCGGCCCGCCTGCACTTCGAACTGCACCCGCACCGCACCCCACACCGCGCCACGCCATGTAGCGGACTTTGGCCCATAGCATAGTGATGTTTCATTGTAGACGAGCTACACCTTAACTCCGCCGCCCGAAGTCGTGGATCCGCACCCGAAGCAAATAGAGAGTGCTCGTCTTACTATTCATCGACATTTTTTTTTATACCTATTCATTTTTCGTAATTCATTTTAATAGTATATAGTATGTACCTCACATTAATGCAATACTTATTATGATTTATATATAATTTAATACACGTAATACGACCGTATATAATATTATATGCATATATTTATATTGAATAAATATACATGTTATAATATTATGTTGGTATACCTATATTGGTAGTATAATATGTAATGGTGTGATGTGCTTTTAACGGCTCCGTATAGAATTACCCGATTAGTCTCTTAAATTGTGGCGTCGGAGTAGTAACAATATCCGTTAATCCCGCACTGAACTTGATTATATATTATAGGTATTAATATATTTATAGCTCGCTGTATATTTTTGCAAGTTAGATTCTGATATAAATTACTACTAGAAGGGGCGGCTTTATAATATAGTATCTGACATCTGTGCATATCTATTATATCATCTATATATAGGACAACATTTCCCCATGCCTGGGTGCTTATAGGCTTGTTAAGATTTTACTGTCCCGTGCTCATGTTATACATATCATATACACCTACCTATATTAAACTAATACAATTTTTTTCAAAATAATTTGATATAGTTTCATACTATATAGGTGCTATACTTATTTGTGTGTAGCAGTTTTCAGTAGGCGTAAGTAATATATATAGTATATAGTATTTATAATTTATTTGATAGTGTTTAATGTGGCATGGGGGGGGGGGGGTGACCATATATTATAGGGGGAAAGTTAAAAAGTTATATCCAGAGAATAAAATATACAGTCAAACATATAAAATCTGTTATGGATTTATTATTATTAATAATTTTGAAATTATAATTCTTTGTGATGGTGCCTATATTTATGTATATCTGCTCATATTATATAAGTTTAATAAACAAAAGGTTTATAATATACCTGCTATATGCCCTACATCTATATGTTTATATACCTAATAATAATACAAAGAAATAATATTTTAATTACCAAGTCAAACACTTTCCCTCCCTTATTTTCTGATGATTTTACTATTGTTATTGGGTATATAAAACACTTATCTATACAATTATTTAGTTGAAAGAATTTTTGGGTAATTATTTTTGAATATTTAATGTTTATTTTCGACATCAATATATATTTAAAACAGTTTATTATTGTTATTAATTATTATGGCCATTATTAAATTTTTTTTTCAAAATGTGTGTATTTTAAGGAATTGAATTATTGAAAGTGTCGAATGAAAATAATGTTACTCTATTTTTTAGATGAAAGTTATACTAAACAAACAGGACCAATGGATTTTTTTTATAAAAATTCCACAAGGCTTTATACATAATAACCTCAATAAAACTTCTTAAAATCTATTGTATAGTATTGATTTTTTTTTAACATTGGAAGGTTCAAGGTACGTATTCAAGGCATCTGTATTAAGTTATTTTTAAAACTTGAACTTGATGGCACAATCAAATTTTAGGCTTCTGTATTTACTTACTTCTGTCTTTACTAAATGGATTGAGAGATTTAATTATTTATACCCCAATAAATAAATGATTTAAAAAAAACATAATACCAAATAAGAATCAAAAAAAAAAAATTATTTGAAATTATCTTAGGTATCTATGTAGAATAGATAGGTACTTTTATTCTAAAAAAAGTCAATGTTTTGACGATTTCAATTTCAGATTAAGTTCCATGTAAACACATTTTGATTAAAAATTTAAAAATTATAGCATGCGTCGATCTGTATATGCTAGGCAATTGATCTGAACTGAATTTTGTCTCTTACTTGTTGCATATACTTGCGTCCATTGAATTTATATTTTCTGAGGGATCAGATATACCTATTTACTGTATCTAGTTATATAATATAGAAGGTTGGTGAATGGTGGATAATATGATAACTGCAAGTACTTATATAGTTTCAGTTGTTTCAGTAAGTTAACTTATAAAGTTATAATCATATTACTTGTACTAATACTGCCTATATAATAATATTATAGACTTACAAACAATATATTGCTTATTTTATTATAAATTATAATTATAATTTATAATCATAGGTATTATAATATGTGCTATTTGTGTAACAGTATATAGGTACCTGTTGGGAAAATCGGGTTTAGTTTTCACAGTTTTTCTATTTACATTTTTTTTTCTTAAAACACAATAATTGTTGATGAGTTTTATATAAGATAATTGGCGGCTGTGTATAAGACACATAATACCTACCTATAGGCTATAATACCACCGTGAAGTCTAGTATTTGTGTTGAATGATGTTGGTGATCACGCAGAGAAATGAGTCGCAATTCTTCAATATATTACCCATGCAGAACTATATTTAGGAAATTACCAAATATTTGATAAACTAATTAGTAATTACACAAACAATGTATTTAATTTAAAAAACTATTTTTAAAATACAATTTACTTTTGTATTGAAAAAAATGACAGTTCAAAACTTAATTTCCTTAACATTTTCTTCGTTTGTAGGCATTATGTCTATGGACAATGTGGGCTAGCTATGATGTGAAGGAGTTTGCAAATATTTTCCCAAGTAAATGGGGCAAAAATTTAATTATATGGCTTAACTCGGTTCTGTGCAATATATAAATCCGATCTGTATATTTAGTCATGTATAGTATCTACCACCGTGCATTTAATGTTTCAAAACGTCGTTGCGTTGTACGATTTTAGTTGCAACGCTTACAGCGCTCATAAACGTTTGCTAAACATCGTGTACCTGTTATCATATTGTAACGCTATTCTATGTTAACATATCAAGATCCTATAAACATCGTCTTGGATCTTGGAAACATGTTTTTATGACGTTGCAAGGATATTCATACGATGTTATGTTTTAACAAGTTTTTTAGCAATTTATACATTGTTATGGCAAAAGTTACATATTAGATTGGCTGACCAACAAAAAAGAAACATATATAAACGTACGCTCTACTTATAATATGGTTACCTATAATTACAGTTAACAAAAAAATATAAAATCAAAAGAAGGGAAATACCCAGCCAATTTTAAAACCTCAATACCTAGAATCTGAACCTATACCTATACTAATTAAGGCTGTGACCAATACTTTTTTTTAAAAATAGCAAACAATTTCCTAATTACAATATGCATTATACAATTTAACATACCAAATAAAAAAAACACTAATTTTATACCTTATATAAAGTCTAACTTGAACTGTGGTGTATTTTATTAATATAGGTAGGTGTATACTATAATGTCACTATACGTGGCCACATAGGTATACACAATTAATAAACAATTACAAACAATAAACAATAATATATTATATTTTCATTTATAAATGATTCTACAATATGTTATTATAATGATGATATTTATTTTTATAATAGTAGTTTACGGTTATATTATGATAATCAGCAAAGTTATCTAAATAGGTACTATCTATATATTATTTATATCTAAAAGCTTAGCTTCTGACTTTTCAAATAAATAGTAGATATTTAAATCGTAAGGATTTACCGTGACATTTCTTAGATACTTCTTAATTATTTTCCAACAAGAGAAAGTTCTTTCACATACTGCAAACGAAACTGGTATAGTAGGTAATTGAAATACCTTTAGGTATGATAATAATATAATGTATGATTAAAGCGTCATATATAAATATATAATTCAGAAAAAGCCATTTCATTTTGCATTAAAAATACAAATAGAAAAATACTATAAAAAATATTTTTTATAAAATTATATTTAATTTAAGATCATTTATTGATTTTTTAACGATTTTTAATTTTTAGTTTAGAGCATCAGTATCATATTTGTAAGAGCTTAATTGCTAGTAGGTAGCTAGGTAAAAATGTTTGAGCTTGTTTTGCATTCAAAAATGTATAATTTTGTAGGTCAAATGCACTAATTCTCTTTAATAAATTTTCATTATCAGAAATATTGAATAAATTGAATACATTTTTAATCCATTTGTGTGCATGTAGAATATCATTGAATTTAGTAAAGGTACCATTGGTAAATACCAATTAAAAGGTATTAAAAAAGCTAAATATTTACAAAATCAAATATCTTTTATTGGAATAGACTCAAAATTGAGAACCGGTGAATCTTATAGCAAATAATTTGATGATGAATATCATAAAAAAGATATTCCATGAACTGAAATTACCAATTAGTTATATCTAAAGTGTAGTATGCTTTGACGATATACATAATGTTTGCCTTGGGGTAACTATAAAAGATAATGTTTTATAGGTACACCTATTCGTAGACATTCGCGTATTACTATATATGTTATAATTTTTTTTTTATAATTTAATT